AGAAAGAAAGAAAGAAAGAAAGAAAGAAAGAAAGAAAGAAAGAAAGAAAGAAAGAAAAAACTTAGAGTGAAGTTGATGAATTTAGAAGATAGGTAAGGAAGATCTGATATACATATACTACAAATTATTTAAGAAAAACATTAAAGTATGAAAATAAAGCAAATTCCCAAATATAAGTTAAAAGAACTTTCTGATAGTATGTTTGTGAAAATGATCCAAAGTTGACCAGCACCAAAACATACTGTAATAAAATTCCTGGGTTCTAAATAGAAAAAGATAATCCTTTGGTAATCTGGGCAAAAGAAATTAAATTTACATATAAAGAGGGAGGGAGCCAACAGATGAAAGAGAGAGAGCAAATAGAAAAGAACTAAATAAGAAGTAGGGAAATTTTGAAATACTTCTCCAAAATGCAAATTTCATAGTTTTAAAAATCTTTCAATGTATGCTAATTGGTTTCATTTATGTTACAAGTTTAATTCACTGAAAAAATTTTGTGTCATCTCTTTGCCTCTTCTTTATAAAAATTTTCAGTTTATGTCTTCTACTTTGAGTAACTAGTTTAAAGATAACAATACACAGTGTAATGACTACCATTATTCTCTTATTATTTAACTATGAAATACTGTTATTTTTTCAGAAAATACAAACTGAAATTCATGAAATAGTTACTAACATGCAATCATCTCTCACTTATACAAACCATCACATTCCTTATCACTCAATGAAATGTCTTTATTGCATCCCTGATGACTGCAAGATGACACTTTCCAGAGAACCCTACCATATAAACCCATAGATTCTAATTTACCATATGCAATTTTAGACCATATCATAGTGAATACCATTGCCTGTAGAAATAATTAGCCTGTGTACAAAGAGATTCAGCCAGGTCATCTTTTTTTCTTGGGACTAGAAAAGTGAGAAGAATGTGGGGGAGAGAGAGATCTGATAAATTCAAAATCTGCACCTGTAACTGATACCTTTCTTCTGAACGCCAGGCTCAGTGAGCCACCAACAATTTGACTCACCTGTGTACTGAGCTACCAAACTGAAAGCCAGCGTGATGGAAAGAATGTTTCTTTTCTCAGCATCCTAGACCAGCTCCCAATCACCCCTTTCTCTCCTTCCACAGCCCTCCCTTCCCATCTTCCCAGGAAAATATATTGTACTCATATTTGACTGCTCTTTGTCTCTTACATCAGGCATCCAATATGTCTGAAAATTCCACAATTTCTACTTTCAAAAAATATCCAGAATTTAGCCCCTGATCTCACATCCAGCACCACTCCCCTTGTTCAAGCCACTGTCATTGCTTACGTGGACTGCTGAGATGAACTCCTTCCTACATCTCTGCCTCCTGCATCTCCTTTCCCCACCAGAGCCTACTCCAAACCAAAGGCCCGATGGATGCCTTGAACACATTAGATCGCATCACTCCTCACCTCAGAGCTCTCCAGGGGCTATGGTATCTTGCAGAATAACAGCCAGAGTTCTTACAAAGGCTGTCAGGGGCCTGGATATCCTGGACCGCATGAATGGGCTGCCTTCACCTCTTGTCATCCCCCTGCCCTTCTTCCCTCTGCCTCAGTCCCACTAGCCTCCTGGCTGTACCGCAAACGAACTAAGCACATTACACCCTGGGGCCCTTTTTCTGCTTGCGGTCCTGCCACAGCTTGCCTTCTCATTTCCTACAAATGTCAGCTCAGATGGACCACCTTTGAAAGCCATTTCCCACTTACCTCTTTAAAAAATTGTAATCCCTATCTTCCCCAGGTCTGTCTCCTCCCTCTTTATGAATCTCCTCACTTACCACCATTTGAAACATTGTACACTTTTACCTTCCACATTGATTATGGTCTGTGGATGAGGACAGAAGTGTTTATTTTATCCACTGCTCTGTCTTCAACTTGACCTACACTAGTGTCTGGAACATAGTGTATATGTATTAATGTAGTATTATCAGTACTATGTAGTACATAGCACTAGTGTACATAGTACATAGCATTAGTGTACATAGTGCATTAATAATTAATAGCTGAGCAAGTCCACTTGTCCTGATATGAGTTTAGAAGATAATGTGATTAAATAATGGAAGAAGAACAGTAACTTAAAATTAGACTGAAGACAACCTTGAAAATGGTACTGAGGAGTTTGGATTGGACTGATGCGGGTTGAGGAGCAACACTCAAGAAAACTATGCAGAGATGTGGAGTCAGAACATCTCGGCTCCAGTGGGGCAGTGGGGCACTCCGACCTTAAGAAGAGCTCCGACTCTTCTCAAGGGGATCTGGAGCTCAACAAGGGATGAAAATGACCCAAAATAGAGAGATCCTAACTGCCCCTCTCCTGAGATGGGGAAAGGACCTCAAAGACGCTGGAGGGCTTGGAGCAGTGGTACAGAAGGAATTTAACTCTCCCCACCTACCCACTCCTGGGCATCTCCCAAAACAACCCAAGTGAGTATCTGCCAGACCTTCCTGAATTATACTTCCAGAGATGTTTTGGAGATCTAGAGGGTTCATGCCATCTCAGGGCTCCCAAATTAAGGCACCAAAGCCCTTAGGATGTGAACGGGGAGAAGAATGACAAGGCTGGACTTTCAAAGGCCATCCTAGAGTCTCCCTCCAAGCAGAGCAGGGAAAGGGTCCCCGGGTTCATGCCCAAGGTCACATTGGAGGGTGGGCAAAGGCGCTGCTCTTGCCTCTGTGCTGTGGGTGTTGAGGCTGCAGTGAGGGTTAGAGAAATAGTAGTGTTGTGGAGGCTGCAGTTGCCCGACTTCTCGGTTAACATGAGGTTGAAGTAAAGGAAACAATGTTTTAAAATAAGAATAATAATAAAAGGAAAGTGCTGCTTTTTAATGTTACTGCTCTCCTTTAAGCTGAATTGCTCATTGCTGTCGTGTGCATTGCCAACAATTATGAGATGAACATTGGGCCTTCTTTCTAAATGATTATAGAACTTCATAGAACCTTAAGTATAGTCATGAAAATGTATTGCCTTAAAAGACTGATAATGATATGTTTTAAGCTTCTACCATATAATATACAGATATTACTTAAAATTTAGATGAACTACATTTGCTTAAATAGAATTAATTGACACAATATCATTAAGTACCAAATTTTGGAAAATCTGTTTTGCAAAGAATAATCACCTCACTTGCTCATTTTGTGTCAAGTTTAGAAGACTCTGTATTGTAGCACAACCTGCCCTCCACACCCTTCTTCTCCCGCACATTCTGTACTGAATCTGACCAGACAAAGCCCCCATGTTCCCTTTAGCTGCACTGGCACATCCTCGTCTGTACACAATTACTCTGATGAGCATGCCTTGCTTTTCCTTCTTGTAGTATAACCGGTACCAGCAGTATGGTGCTGAAGAGTGTGTGCTGCAGATGGGAGGAGTGCTGTGCCCTCACCCTGGCTGTGGAGCAGGGCTGCTGCCGGAGCAGGGGCAGAAGAAGGTCACCTGTGAGGCCGTCAGCAGCCTGGGCTGTGGGGTGAGTACCATCTGCACACTTGGCCATGGTACTGTATTCGATCACTTTGGCAAATGGGCTAGTATTATTTTTTCTTGTTTTCATTTTCCCTTTGAGCTCAGATATCTTTAAATGAATATGTAAAAAATAGATTGTTCAATTCTTATATAGGGCCTCACATATGAAAATGAACCTTTTAATTAATTAGTCTATGTCCTCATTTTCAGAGAAGGAGTTGGATTAAGATTATCTGCTTCCACTGCTTTTCTAAGTATCTATTCTGACATGGCGAGCCACTGCACAGAACTTTTGGGCTTCTCATGCAGTGCTCAGGTGGTGTGAAGATATATTCTTTCCACAGAGCTAACCTGCAGAAGACAGGAGTGAAGGAGAAAGTAATTCCCCATCAGGAAGTTTTAGCGACCCTGTGTGCCTGGGTATTTCAAGAAATAAAATGGAGATTAGGCTGAACAGCTTGAAATGTTATTGTGTCATAAGAATAATTTTAAATAGAGTTGAGCAAAGCTAATGTTACCTGTTAGGGAAGCAGACTAAGAAACATGACAAGTGTGTGTTCTAAGAGGTCAAAGCATATGACTTGAATGGTCAGTGGAAATGAATTTCTATCCTGAAGCTGGTGGTCAAGCGGGCAGGAAGCACAACTCCAACACACAAAGTCTTACTAAGTTATAGGTTGAAGTGACAAACACATAATAATCCTGTTATTAAATTTTGTGCAGGATGGTAAAGGAAGAAAGCATATTGTGCTTATAAAATTCTACTGAATTCTGAGGAGAATCATTTCTTTTAAAATTACAACTTCACAAGGAACTTGTGGAAGAAGAGCACAGGTGACAGGGCGTATTACCTACACCTAATTTTTGGCCAAACACTCTAACTTACTTGTGCACAGGCTGGCATCTTTTATCAGTCATAAAGCTCAATATCTGTGAGTGCAACATGGCTAACAAAATCCTGGTTGTGTAACGGATTACAGAAAATAGATTGAAAATTAATGAGATGCCTGATGCCTGAAGGAAAAGAAATGCCTCTAGATTAATAATCATAATTGTGTTAGAATGCAAGCTCAAGTAACATTTGCCATCCTTGGGAATTACGGAAATCAAACCACACTTTTCAGCCTTAGTCATAATCAGTTATGATTACAAGTGTCCTAAGCTGGCTGCCAAATTCTAGATCAAAATCCTGGCAGATATTTTCCTTTAAAATGAGTTATAATCATTTTAGACTAACGGCTAAATGTGTTTCTTCCTGCTAATTGTCTACTGTTGTTTCATCCTGTAAAGCTGGATTTTAAGGATTTTAACAGTCTTCAAAAGGTGGGCAGTTTCTTTGACCGATTTTTTTGCATTTAGTTGTTCGCTTTGCTTTGCAAATTTGGAAGTTTTATGTATTTTTCTGTCTTGATGACCTTTGTCTTCCTCTTTAAACACAATGTGACATTGTAGTAGCATACATATTTAAGTTCCAAATCATGGAAATTTATGTTAGTAATGAATTTAGTACCTCTAATTTATGTTAGAATGTTTCAGTACCTTTGGACTAAGAGAGTTTAGGGAAAATTGTTACCTAATGGCAGATGCCTAAATTCAGGATGTCTTTTATTCTTTGGAAATTCTAGGTATTGGGTCTTGGTTTTAATTTTGATTTGTTCTGTTTTGTTGTTTGGGGAAGTTTGTTTGTTAGCTTGTGTATTAATTATCTATTGCTTCATAACAAACAACCCTAGATTTTAATAGTTTAGTATAATAAGCATTGGTCATTTTTCAGAGTTTCTAGGGGTCAGGAATTATCCATCAGGGCCTTACCGGATGGTTCTGGTTCAGGATCTCCCAGGAGGTTAGGTATAGCTGCCTGAAGGCTTGCCTGCAGCTGGAAGTCCCACTTCCAGCATGACTTAGTCCACCACTACTTGCAAAAAAGACTCAGTTCCTCACTGGCTGTTGTTAGGTGGCCACAGCTCATTACCATGTGGTCCTCTTTTCACGCTTTGTGTCCCCATGACATCAGCTAACTTTCCCTCATCAAATTATCCAAAAGGACAGCAAAGAAGGAGCCATAGTGTCTTCGGGACCTAATTCCCAAAGCTGTACTCTGCCACTGCCACTTTATTCTACTCAGGAGAAACCAGGTACTAAATCCAGCCTACCCTCAAAGGGAAGCCAGGCTCTACGTTAAGGGGCATCACAGAACTCATGGATGTATTTTAAGCCACCGCAGTTTACAGTTTAAAGAAGTTGCGAAAAGGGCAAAGAGAAATGATTAATTAATGGATGTACTTATCATCACGCTTTCCTCTTCCTGCTACATTTACTGCCGTGCTCTCTCAGTCTTTTCCTCCTCCGCCTGCCCACTCTTTTCAACTTCAGTTCTTATACCTTTGACTTCTCGGCAGAGACTGACTGACTTCATCACTGCCCTTTTTTAAAATTCCCAACTTTCACAAAAGGATGTTAATTTAATTTAAATACAGTGGTACCTCAGTTCACAAGCTTAATTATTTCCACAGTTATGGTGACAAACTGAATTAGATGACAACTGAATCAAATTCAATGGTCAGTTTCAATGCTGACTTTATGGGGAAATTCAACTCAGTTCTAGTCCAGTTCAGTTTGGGACCAGCATCGTGGAACAAATGAAGTTTGTGAACTGAGCTGCCACTGTCCTAAGGAGATTCCATACTGACTAAACAAGCAGTTAGGTTGGATGCCAATAGTTTAAATCCTATCAACAGACACAAAAGTGTAACTCTTATTTTATGGTTATTCAAGAAATATTTCATATCACAAAAGGGTTCTCATGTCTAAAAGGGTGAAAACTAGATTGCTTGATATTTATAGAAATTAAAAAGGAAACTTTAGGATACACTGTGATATGCCCATAGCCACGTTTTCAGAGCTGAAACATACCCCTACACTGCGCTCTGGACTTAGAATAGCTCTAATCTTTTCCATCATTTGCCTGCCACTGCTAGAACATGCTTGTTCAAACATATAATATTTCACTTACAAAATGAAATTGATTCCCTGAGACTTTTCTGCATTGTATCATCAGGCTAAACTGTTGCTGATGAGGAGTGTACACTGGCTAATACACAGACAAGATTTCCATAAAAATGGTTATGTCAGTCCATCTTGACAAGGACTGAGAAATGTGCAATGGTTACAGCAGCCATGCTTTATTCCCATTATTAAGCACGATTTGAGAGAAAGTGCCACCTTCTAGGATTCATATTGAAGTCTTACACTGGTTTCATGGATTTATATTCCTGTCCTGAGTCTACATTCTTAGCATGTACTTGGAGTTCAGCATTCAATGAATGAATGGGTGAGTGAACTGAACAATATGGTAGTTCTTTTTTGCCATTTTTAAAATTTATTTTAAAGAGAAAAATAACAATAAAATAGAGTTTCAAAACAGGTTAGTAGGAGAGTTACAATAATTGATACATTGCATATTATTGTCTTCATAGAAGTTAAGCAGAGTACAAGTTACAGGCATGATATTTTGTCCAAACAACATTAGCACAAACCTTTCTTTTCAATGTGGTAGTTCTTAACAATGTAGGAATGATGTAAATCAGCTATCACTTTTACTTTCCAATATTAATCGTCATTTACCCCAGTATTAGAATTGCTTTACTCATCTCAGCAAAAATCTCTTTAAAATATTTAAACATTTTCATATTATATAGTGCTTTAATAGCACATAGTACATAATTCAGGACACCAACATAGCACTACATCAAGTGATCCACAAAATATCAGTTAGGAACCTAAAATTACTGCAAAAATCACAGAATGTATACATGCTATCAAAGTCTACTTACGCCCAGATAGAGTTTGGCACTTTCTGACTATAAAATATCTTACTCTTGGGGGCACCAAGATTTTAGTTTTGATGCAGCACGGAATATTTTTACATTGTAGAATTCAATAAGGAATGTATCTGGGGATCAAATAGTCTCACCTTACTCTCCGCTAACCCTTAATCAGATTTTTTAAGATTGCTCATAAAAACATTAATTGATTTCCCGAAGAATTCATGTTATATATTATTCTTTCTTCTGGCCTGTTAGCTATTCATCAGAACTATCCCACTAACTTTAATGACTCCAGTGCAAAAAGTTGACATGTTTAATACTGGCAAACAGCAAGAAAATATGGAATACATTATACTCACTGACCTGGGAATGCAAAAAGCTATGGCAATCAAACTTTCTCTATAAATAAAATATCTTTATCTTATTTGGTGTTATCTTGGTATAGGAGATAATTTTTTAAAGTAATACTTGCAGTTGGAGGAGGAGTTTTCTATCTTAAATTAGAAATCCAAGGACAAGGTTTAATAATTGAAAAAATTCAGATGAAAACAAGAGACCTTTAAAAATCACATTAAGTTAAGGAAATGAGATAGAATTTTCTAAGGCTTCTAACACCTATTCCTTCCTTTAACAAAATGCATGTTGTGTTGCTCAGAGACAGATTTTTCAGGGGAATAACATCCGTGGGGCTCCTCACCTACACCAGCCCCACCCAAGTGCTCTGAACCAACTTTGTCTTGTGTTACTTCCTTAGAAAGGGTCTCAAAAATTGTATAAGCTGAAGTTGTAAAGGCATCATTCAAACTGAGTTTAGATGTAGTTATGGAATTTGATCAGCATTATGCTGAAAGCATGTGTGCATGCTTTTATTTAACACAGTGATTTGAACTACTTACAACAGTAGGATTAATACAGTATATTGTTGAAATTTTTAGTGCAATGAGAGTCCCAGCCTCATTTTTCACCTTATATAGGAAAGGAGTCAGTGATGACAGATAGTGATATCTGGCCTTCTACTCAAAGATTTAACTAATTACAGTATTGATTTGAAAACTTAAACAAACATATTGGCATGAACCCTTTTTCTAGTAATATATGGAGCTCAGAAATGGAAACCAAGCAGATGGTTAATATTTAATAATAAAAGGAAAAAAGAAAATTTTGTCATTCCTATTGC